ACCCTCAGCTATTTCTTGTCACCATCCATCCAGTTGCCCAGGCCTGAAATCTGGAGAGCAGCCTTTTCACCATTACCTTTAATAAGTCAAAACCACTTTTGGCCTCATCTTCCTTTGGCTAAATAGATAGTCTCCTGATGGTCTCCTGCCTTGTCTTATTGGACACTCCCCTGGTCTGATCCTCCACAGGCACATAGAGGGGATGTTCCTACAACTCAAGTTTGGTAGTGGAGTTCCCCTGCATGGGAACCACCTTTGGCCCCTTAGAACCTCAGGATATTGGTTCTAGGAGCAGATTCCTGCTCAGTGACATCTTGGTGCTTCCTGCCAAGCTGCAAATTAACCCCCTTCACTGCCTTACCTCTACCCTGACCCCATACTCCCTGTGGACCTCTGTACCTGCCAGCCTCCAGATTCCTCTGCCTGGAATACCTTCTCCAGCATATCTGTCTGGCAGAATCTTCCTTAGCCTTCCAAACCCATCTCCAACCTCACTCTACCTTTAAAGAAAATTTTTCCTGACACCACCCTCCTGCAATAAACAGAAAAAAAGCAAAAATAAAAACCCAGAAGCAACTACCTCCTCCTTCATTTATGGCAGTGTTTTTCAACATTTTTTATTTCATGGCATACTTGAATCTATACTTAAATTTCTGTGGCACGCTTAAATTACGTCGATCAAAATGTCCACAAATCAGTAGCCTTTGTATATGCCAATAACAGCCAAGTTGAGAAACAAATCAAGGACACAATTCCCTTCACAGTAGCTTCAAGGAAAATGAAATACTTAGGAATATACCCAATAAAAGGAGTGAGAGATGTTTTCAAAGGGAATTATGAAACCCTAAGAAAAGAAATTGTAGAGGACATTAACAAATAGAAGAACATGCCATGCTCTTGGGTGGGAAGAATCAACATTGTCAAAATGTCTATACTACCCAAGGCAACCTACAGATTCAATGCAATCCCAATTAAAATACCAATATCATATTTTGAAGAACTAGAGAAAATAATACTTTGTTTTGTATAGAACCAGAAAAAACTCTGTATAGCTAAGGTTATTCTTAGTAATAAAAACAAAGTCAGAAGCATCACCCTACCAGACTCCAGGCTGTATTACAAGTCCATTATAGGCGAAACGTCTATATGCCTCTGGCCAAAAAAGTCACTTGAGAGAGAGCAGTGAAAAGACTTTGTGCAGGCATACTTAATAAACTGAGGCAAAATCCCATGTAGCCAGGTTAGTTGCAGGCCTAACATGAACAAGGTTTTGGCTGGAATAGCATTTCCAGACTGCCTTAAGGAATTAAGGTTGACTTTATAAGGCCTACGAGAAAGCCCTTTGGAACACTGGCCAGATACCCATCAGTAACCTTTCCTGATCTGCGGTAAGTGACTAAGGTTGCTTGCTGATAGGTCTGGGAACGGTAATGTCATACAAGTATCTAATGGCACAGATGAAACTTGGGCTCATGAAAGGCTTTTGAGAAGTCCAGCCTGAGAATTCCTTATAAAAGGCTCCAGCAAAACCCCCCCTGACTTAAGGCCTACATGGGAGCAGAGGTTTGCACACAAGCTCCTATATGCCCAAGAAGTTTCTCTATGCTTTGCTTAAAGATTCAAAGTAACTGCCTCCAAATGTCAGTAGAACAGACATTCAAATCGGCTCTTTCCCCCATAGCCTCAGGCTTCATCAGATAAGATCAAAGAAAGTAATAACTGACAACATGTTCTTCATTAAGTTATGTTAAACCAGGTTATATTGAAAGGATTATGCTTAAAGGTGTATGTTGGATGGATTATCAGATTACCAGGGAGGAGCTACTTATAGGACGGGTGGTTATAAGCTGTTTAAATGGATCAATGAGGTCATTACTGCATTGTGCTCATGTACAAAATTCCCTATATAAGCCAACTGCAAATAAAGAAGCTCGCCATTTTGCCTGAGTGAGCAGATGGTCACCTTTATTTAAAATACAATTTCAAAAAGCGTGCTTATTCTTCACGACATCGCTTTTCCGTGAGACCCTTACTGCAACAGTCCATAGTAATCAAAACAGCATAAAAACAGAGACACAGGGTGGCACCTGTGGCTCAGTGGGTAGGGCACTGGCCCCATGTACCGAGGGTGCCGAGTTCAAGCCCAGCCCCGGCTAAACTGCAACAAAAAAAATAGCCGGGCATTGTGGTAGACGCCTGTAGTCCCAGCTACAGGGAGGCTGAGGCAACAGAATTGCCTGAGCCCAAGAGCTGGAGGTCGCTGTGAGCTGTGTGATGCCATGTCACTCTACCAAGGGCAACAAAGTGAGACTCTGTCTCTACCAAAAAAAAAAAAAAAAAAAAACCCAGAGACACAGACATATGGAACAGAATAGAAAACCAAGAGGTGAAATCAGTCTCTACTTGCCATCTCATATTTGATAAATCAAACTGCTGGAAGTACTGGATCACCACATGTAAAAGCGTGAAACTCGACCCCCACCTTTCACTCCTTACAAAAATTGACTCAAGATGGAAAAGAGACTTAAATCTAAGACACAAAATAACATAAATCTTTTAAGAAAGTGTGGGGAAAACTCTTGACAATGTTGGACTGGGGAAAGATTTTATGACAGAGACCTCAGTGGCTATCACAACAAAAATTAACAAATGAGACTTAATTAAGCTTAAAAGCTTCTGCACAGCTAAGGACACAACAAGTAAAGCAAAAAGACAACCTTCAGAATAGGAAAAGATATTTGCAGGGTATCAATCTCAAAAAGGGGTGATAACTAGAATCTACAGAGAACTCAAATTAATCAACAGAAAAAGAGTAAAGCAGCCCATCTACCTCTGAGCAAGAGATATGAACAGAACCTTCTCTGCTGAAAACAGACGAATGGCTAACAAACATTTGAAAAAATGCTCATCATCCTTGATCATCAGAGAAATGCAAATCAAAACTACCCTGAGATATCACCTTACCCCAGCAAGAATGGCCCATATCACAAAGCCCCAATGCTGTAGATGCTGGCGTGGATGTGGAGAGAACACTTTTACACTGCTGGTGGAACTGCAAACTATACAACTTTTTTGGAAGGAAGTAAGAAGAATTCTCAAAGAACTCAAATTAGACCTCCCATTTGATCCTGTATTCCCATTACTAGGCATCTACCCAGAAAACAAAAACAAACATTTTATCATAAGTACATTTGCACTAGACTATTTATCACAACTCAATTTATAATCAATCGCCAAAACGTGGAAACAACCTAAATGCCCACCAACCCAGGAATGGATTAAAAAACTGTGGTATATGTACACCACGGAATACTATTCAGCCATTAAAAAAGATGAAGACTTTTCATCTTTTGTATTAACCTGGATGGAGGTGGAACACATTCTTCTTAGTAAAGCATCACAAGAATGGAGAAACAAGAATCCAATGTACTCAATTCTAATATGAAGGCAGTAGATGAGCTAATACAAGGTGGGGGGTAGGGGAATAAGGGATGGGAGAGAGGGGAGAAGAGAGGAGAGAGGAGGATGGGGGGGTCATGGTATATGGCATACCTCTTAGGGGCAGGACACAATTACAAGAGGGACTTAACCTAACAACTGCAATCAGTGTAATGTAAGTCTTTGTACTCTCAGTGAATCCCAAACAAAAAAAAAAAGTTGATCAAAAAAAGAATATACTTACTGTGCTTTGAACTTCTTTCAAAAATAATTTAACTAATGGTCTTTAAAACTTCTCAAGGCACATCTAAGATCCTCTCATAGCACACCAGTGGGCCACAGCATACTGGTTGCAAACCACTGACCCATGGCCTGCACTTTATTCCCCCCGCACTGCACAAAGCACTAGTCCAGGAAGCCATGGGATATGACAGGATGTCCAAAGTGTTCACTTGGTGACTTTGACTGGACCCCTACACAGCTTGGGGAAATCTGTTACCTAACAGTTGAGCCTGGCCCTAAAGCCAACGTCCTTCCTAACATATCTTGGAGCTTCTGTGGTGTAAGAAGCCACATAACCAGGTGGCACCTGTGGCTCAAAAGGGTAGGGCGCTGGCCCCAAATGCCCGAGGTGGTGGGTTCAAAACCCAGCCCCAGCCAAAAACTGCAAAAAAAAAAAAAAAAAGCCACATAACCAAGAGCATTGTATTTCATCCCTGCAAAAGGAGCCACAGGCCCCACCTCAGGCGTCCTCAAACTGCAGCCCGCCTAGGACATTTATCCGGCCTGCCAGGTGTTTTTGCCGCCGCTGCCTGTCCTGCTTAGCAGCCAACTTGTCCCAGGGCCCGCAGTCTGGCCCTCCAACGGTCTGAGGGACCGTGAACTGGCCCCCTGTTTAAAAAGTTTGAGGACCCCTGCCCCACTTGCTCCTCACAGAGGCCTCACTGGATTCCACCATCTCTCGTCTCTTGGGGTGATGACAGCCTTAATCCCCTTCGGACATTTCTGTCCTGTGTAAGAATCTAGCAATGGCTTTGCTCTTCAGGAGTGTTAAGTACTTTCCCTTGCACTCCTGGAAATCACCGAGTCATTGATGTGTGGGTAGCTGATTGGGACAGGTAGTGTTGGGGCCTTCAGGAGAGCTTTGACGTGAAAACCTCCCACTCACAGCACCAGCACACCAGCCAGTCACACCCCACTCCACTCTCATGCCCACTTCCACGTGTCCTCTCTTCTTGCTTTGACCTCTTCCTGCTCCACTGTCTTTCACACTCTCACTCTCTTTTCTATTCTCTCTGCCATGTTGTTTTCTGATAATACTCTTTCATAAGCCAAATAGCCCTCACCTGGAACCCTCACCTGCAGACAGCCCTCCCTCCGCCCCACACAGTAGGAACTAGCCAGAGCTTCTTGTACCATCCCAGAAATTCAAGCCATAGCAAGCCTATACACACTGCTTCAGGCCCAGGGAATCACCACCATGTCCTGCCCCCAGAGCAGGAGCCCAAGCACATGGGTGTGCAATGTGTCAGGCATTGGCAAGGAGGGGATCAGGTCCTTACCTGCTGCTGCTACAGCCTTCCAGTCCGATGAGCTGCTCAGGTCTGCTGGGATCTGCAGGTTGCTGGCTGGGTACAGCACAGTCTCCCTGGCCACCACTCAGGGCTCCAGGCCTCTCCTGAGAGGCCTCTCCAACCTCTGTGGCCACATTCTTCTCATAACCATCCAAGGTGCTGAGGAAAAACGAGCAGCACTCGATGCAGCCAAGTGCATGGGAATAACCCTCACGCACCCACTGCATGATGGCTGGCACCTGGTGGGCTCGGAAGGCTCATTTCCCCAAGGCTAGAGCAGGCAGGAGCCAGGCACAGTCCCCACCCCAGGGAGCAGGCAGTCCACTCCTCAGGAAGAACCCAGCACTGACACTTGCTTCCCACTGAGAAAGCCGGCCTTTGTGTATAGCAGATGAAGCCTAGGCCTCCAATGCTTGTGCCACCCCTGAATCCAGCTGGCCCAGAAACTGAGTTCTTTGAGGGGTGGGTGATATCCCCTAGCCTCACTCAATACCTGCATTCTCAAAGCTGGGTACCATGGGGAAGAGAGGAGAGGATACAGGCTGATCCCACACTTGCACACCCCTCCCATCAACATCCCTGCCCCAAGGTACAGGGCACTGCTTCCAGGATCTACTAGGTCAAAGTCACACACTGAGTCAGATTATTGAAAACATAAGTCCATCCGGCCCCCACATGCAAATCTAGCTCACCATTGCCTCAATTCTGACTCACCCTGAACTTAACTTTCCCAATATGGTCAGCCTCCCTCTAATAGCTAGGAGGAGCCGCCCTGACACAAAGGGGATACACTACCAGCTACCAGTCCTGAGCCTTTTACTTGTGGAAGTTAATTCCACACTAGGCAGACTCCCTGCCTCAAGCTGGAATACACAGGGAGTATGTCCTGAGCACCTGAGTCTTCAATCTCAGGTGGGAGGACTAAACTGCCCCAGTAGGGGCAATGAGCGAGCTGACTGCCACCTCCAGCCGTGCCAGGCAAAATGCAGGCAAGCAGGAGGGACTGCACCCAGTAATTGGGGGGAAGTTGGTACAGCTAGCTACCCTGGATTTGACCAGTCTTGTTCTGTCTTGTGCCCTCTGTAGAAATATGCTAATAGAGGTTGTCCTCACCACGTTTATGCACAGAGCCAAGATTATCCAGAAAGAGCAATCTGGGGTCCTCTGCAATGTAGAGACAAATAGATGAATACAGCTTAGTTGCCCTAGTCGCAGGCCTTGAAGCGGAGCCACTAGAATTTTAGGAGATGTAACCCATACAGGTTATGATAAGGACATCTTAAGCAAACACAGGAAGCCTTGCTGAATGATGTCACACCCCAGGGGCAAGCCCTTCCTGAACTGCCCAGAAGTCAAGTGGTTAGGGATATGCCAGGTAACACCAGGGGTGGCTACAGATGAGGCCTTGGATTTTGGACTAGTTGGTTTCTCTGGAGCCACTGCCAATTCCTGACATAATGACATTCTACACAAACGCAAGTGTCCCCTCCCACTCTTGTATCATCTCTTCTAAAATCCTCCCCTAGTTGGCAACTGAAATTCACCTGCTCCTCATAAAGAAACCTGAAAAGCCCACACTTGTTAACATAACAAGAAAAATACGTAAGATGAAAAGTTTAGTGGCAAGGAGATTGAGATACTGTGTCTCATAAAATGAAATAAAGCCAATAAAGCTGGCATGGGGAAGAAGTTTCCTGAACGTCCTTGAAAACTTTGGGGTTAAGGAGATATTCCTCTGGAGCTGTTTCATTCAGCTTGAAAGACTGATAAAATGAGCATTTGACAATTATACAGTCTCTTGTGCCACGAAATGTCTAACATGCTTTACACATACAAACCCATGTAGCCCTTTCAACAACTCTGTATGGTAGGTGGTATTACTGCTGCCATTTTACATTTGAGGAAACTGAGGCACAGAGATGAGTAATATGGCCAAGGCCACAGAGCTTGTGTCAGAGAGCTTGGATCTGAACTCAAGCACCAGAGTCCACATTCTTAACCACGAGGCTCTCCATGTACGTGTGAAGGATCACGCTCAAGTCAGAATAAGGCCGAAACCCCAAGTGTCCCAGAGCTGAAACTGCGTGGTAATCTAGAAGACAAAGGTTCCCCTGCTCTGCGGGACCTCACGGCCCCACCCTGCTCCTTCGCCAGAGTCTCAGAAACCAAGCTCCTCATCCCTGAGCCCCACAGCCTAGCCCAGGTCAGCCCGAGGGTGCCCGGTATGGAGGGTGTAGCTGCGTCCCCACACGTCCACAGCCCTGCCTCTGGACATCTCCGCAGACCAGCGTCCAGCATCCAACAAGCGATGGTCGCCACGGGCGCCCTGGGAAACAAGATCGGGCTGGAGGAGCCCCCTCCAGCTCTGTGCGGGCACCGTGCTTCCTCCCGCTTGCGCCAAAGCCTGGGGGGCCTGCGACGGTTCACACGCCGCCACCTGAGACGGGTCAAGCCGGCACAGCCAACCACACGGTAGTGGGGGAGGGAGGACGAGGCCCAGGGCCCAAGGGCGACCAGGCCATTTGTGATCCTGGAGCGCCATCTGGTGGCCGGCGTGGGGACGGACAGGAGAATCTCTTCCAAGGCCGCTCTGGCTCCGGGCAGCCATTTCGCATAGCGGACGGCACGTTTTCCCGGAGGCCGCTGCGACCCGAGCTCACGGCTGCGGGAAATGGCGGCCGACGTAGGCACACTGATGACGGCTGCGCGCTCGAGGAGTCACAGGAGCGCGAAATTAAGTCCCTCGCCAGTCGATTGCGCACGCTCGCAGACGCACCCGCCGTGTGTGCTGTGCAGATACCCGGAGGGTGAGGTGACGTTACTGCCGTGCGCCGGTGACTTTTCTTTCCGAGTCGAGAGCGCTGCACCGATTGCGGACGCTCTATCTCAGGGGTTGTTAGCCTCAGGACTGTTAACCATTAGGGAAGGATAATCGCGTGTTGGGAGACCGGCGGGCTGTACTGTGCAGCATCCCAGATCTTTACCCATTAGAAGCCTGTAGTACCATCCACCCCCAATTTGACAAACAAAAATGACTCGAAACATCATTAGATGTACCCTAAGGGGGCTGAGAGGTTCAGGATATGCTCCTGGTTCACAATCACTACCCCTAGAACAGTAGTTCTCAAACTACACTGGAGAGAATACACTGGGGAGCGTTTACAAAGACATAGTGAAGGCCCACCCCAGAAAAAATTAAATCCAAATCTCCACTTGGGGCCCAGAAAGCTTTTAGCTGAGCTTTGTTTTGTTTTTTAATACTTTGCAGGCAATTCTCTGATACAGCTACCTTTGAAACATCAGAGAATAGTAGTTGTAAGCCTGGGCTCTATTTCTGACTGTGTCCCTCAGCTTCCAGTAATAAGAAATCTAATCCTTTACAACATATGCGGGGATTATATGAGATCATACAGCATGTTTTTCGTGCTAGCCGGAAGTTACTGGCTCTGGGTCTTGAGAATTGGACCCAAAGAACATGTCATAAAGTAGCTTTTGAGTTTCTCTGTAGTTTTTTCTTGTAAGGCCTTGGATAAGTCACTTAACCTTTCTGTGATTGAACTTCCCCACCTCATCCATCTCACAGGGTTGTGGGAAAGACTGTAAAGCACCCAGCACAGGGCACTATTGTTAGAGACAGGGAACAGAGTGAGAGAAGAAAACATAAAATATCAAATGAAATAGAAAAAAGGAGTAAGAGAGAACAGACGGTTCCTAGTAGGAAACTGCCTACCACAAGATGTTTTGGAACAGCTAAAGGAGCTCTTACTGGACAATAGGACCCCAAGATAGGCACAGGCTAGACCACAAGAGGTATGCGTCAAACCACAAGAGCACCTGTGGTTTATGACAACCACCATGTGCAGTCCTAAGTAGGGGACCTTCACGTTGATCTTTTGATGTTAAGTCCTTCATTGTAATATCATTTACATTTGCCACACCCAGGCATATAATTAAACCATGGAACTCTGGGAACTATTATGGGAATAAGTTATATACCATACGTAATGCATATTCGGGACTTAAGAAATGCATTAACATTACATGTAGGCAGAGCAAAGCTAGGAATTAGGGAATAAACACAAGAGGAAAAGTTTGTAAAGGTGTCCTCTCTCACTTGCCAGGCAGAGGCCCAGTCTTCTGTTTGGAATGTATTATCTGCTTAAAAAGAAAAAAAAGGGGGGGGGTGGCGCCTGTAGCTCAAAGGAGTAGGGTGCTGGCCCCATATGCCAGAGGTGGAGGGTTCAAACCCAGGTCCGGCCAAAAACTCCAAAAAAAAAAAAAAATAGAAAAAAAAGGATGGTGCCTGTGGCTCAAGGAGTAGGACGCTGGCCCCATATACTGGAGGTGGCAGGTTCAAACCAGGCCTTGGCCCCAAACTGCAAATAAATAAATAAATACATACATAAATGAAAAAGAAAAAAACCCCATGCTATTGCCTTGCACTTGCTCACTTTGTGGTTTCTGGGCACCACAAGGAAAGCCTGAAGCAGGGCTGGGGTCTTCATAGCCCCTAACACTACAGGTGTCAGCTATTGTGTTCAGTCTGTTCATTATCAGAGAGATTTGAAATAGAAACAAAGTCACATACCTTGGGTGTGTCCATTGCATACCCCACCTTCAAGCATAGCAGTTTAAGTAAAAAAGTGACTGCAATGTGGTGTGGAAATGCAAACATGAATTCACCTTTTAAACATCTAAATCACACCAGGCTCCTCTTTGGCTTAGAACTGTAAATAAGATCCAATCTCCTTATCATGGCTTAGAAAGACCTTGCTCTATCTAGGGTCTCCCTCACCAGCCAGGCTCAGCGCATGCCCACCACAGGATTGTATTAGGTTCATGCTTCCCTGTCTGCCCTCTTCTTTCATTCTACTTTTTCTAGAACAGTTCCTTCTCTTTAGAACAGCTCTTTTGAGTGGCCCTCTCCATCCACCTAAGCAGTAAGCCTTCCTCTCCACCATCAACCTGCCTGTTTTCTTCATAGCACTGTCCTTCCCAGGAGGCACAAAGACCTGAGTTCCAGGCCTTTTGTTTTAATTTGAATTAGGCATAAACCTCAAAAGACTGAGGAGATCTGTATGAGACACTGTGAGTAGAGGGCTGTGAACACAGTAGGTACCCTGAAGTGAAGTAGCCGCTATGATCTTTAAAAGTATTGTGGTACAACAAGCTGATCAGCCCCTACCTACTTCTACCACTCCCCAGAAAAGACCCTCATTGCTGGCCATACCCAGCTATGTACAGCACCCAAGAAACACCCAGTTCTCCTGAGCCCTTTGTACATCCTGTTCCCTCTGCTTGGAGGACTCCTGTCCACCTTTCAAGATTCGACCCAAAAGCTACCTCCTGATGAAACCCTCTTCTGATGTGCTGTTCCAACCCAGGCGGAGCTTTTCCCACTCCCCAGCCTGAGAGCACCTTAAATGTGGGGCTATGTCTGATTTGTGTGTGTGCTCCGGCCTCTGGCAACAGGCAGGTGCAATGGGAGTGGCTGCTGACTGAAAGGTGACTCTCCCCGCTTATGATGTACTCACTGGCCGGAAGTACAAGTGGGTTTAGTGGAAAGCTTCATGGCCCAAAGGCCAGAGGGTTCCAGTTGTGGCTTCCATCCTTGCCACATGCCTCAGGCCAGCTCACAAAACTTCACTTCCCTAACTGAAGGCGGCTGCACACTGAGCTACCTGGCTCAGGCCAGAAGGTCAGCACTGTTGATGCCTTACCCCTTTGAATCTTCCTTTGTGTCCTCCACATCTGCTGTGCTATCGCTCTTCCTATCAGCTGGGACAGCAGAGGTCCATATGGCACTGGCACTGAGGGAGGAAGCACAGGGGCCTGCTGAGACCTCAGACCAAAGGAGACACCCCTTCCTGATTGCCTCCTCTCAGGAAAGGCTGGCTTCTTAGTCCTGGCATTTGTGTAGCACACGCACATTGTGTGGGGTACAATTGTGTCAGCCTTGGATATGGCCTGAACATCTGGGTTCAAGAGCAAGCACTGCCCGTGACCACCTTGGGTTCCCTGGGGAAGCCTCCTCCGGCTTGGGGTTCCAGTGTCCTTACTTGACGTATACCATGTTGGGGTTTGTGGAAGTTGAGAAAGATATTTCCTTACTAGGGTTTGCCAAATGCTCCACACACCCACAGCAAGATGGCTGCTCTCACTGCACAACTGGTAGATGAAACAGAGCAGAAGCCTACTGCCCAGGAATGCACACCCTCTTCCCCCTGTACTTTTGTGCCCCTGGAGCCATTTGCCCTTCCCAGCCATCAGCCATATGCTCCTGGACTGAGCCCTCTAGTCCTGACTGGCTGTCTCTGGGATTCCTTTTCCTAACTTCTACTTGGGACCCAAGTTGCCCTACCCTTGCCTGATGGCTGTTGGTCTAGTCTTGAAGGACTGAGAGTTGACACCATGTACATCCTGATCATCCAGGAAAGGGGTGAAGCTAGCAGCTGAGCACAGCCTGTGCAAGGAGGCCAAGCCTGGCTTGGGTTCAGGACTTTGTGTCTATATGTCTACGCTCTCCCAAAAGGGTAGCCCCAACAGATGAGAAGGACTGAGGAGCTGTTAAAGCAGATGCTCGGGGCACAGTACTTTTATCCCAAGGTAGCCTGGGACAGTGTAGCCTGGATATAAGTCAAAGCTTTGCTACTTCCCAGCCATGTAGCATTATTGGGCCTCAGTTTTATCAACAGTGAGATAGGGATAAGCACCATGTCTGCCTCCTAAATTCTGAGAAGAGTAAATAAGTTCATGGATGCCAAGCACTTCCATACTGCCCAGGTTGTAACATACACTAGCACATTCCTGTTGTCACTGGGCTCTTCCCAGTCCCTCTGTATCCACCCACCTGACACGGATTTACCCAGCCATCCCTGGGTTAAGCATTGTCTTTCTCTCTATGAAACAGGAAGACTGATGCTCACAGCTCACTGAGTGATCACTGCTCACAGCACCCACAGCCTGCACATGCCTGTCCCTTCCACTGAAGGAGCACACCAGCAAAAAGTCCATCATGTTTGGTTCCAAGCCTGTTTATGCCAGTTGTACTTGCAACTATAATCACTAAATTCAATTATTAAGTAAACTCTTGAAAATGAATGGGAAAAGGGTGTGATTCCAAGAAATGGAGAGCCTCAGGACAAAGGCTGTGGTAGGGAGGGAGCGTGGGAAGCAATAGACAAGAAACCACCAGGGACTTGACAGAACCTCCTCCCCCAGGCAGCTCACCCTCCTCTCTCAGAGGCAACGTCTGCTCCAGCCAAGCCTGCAAGTGGAGACCCTGTGGCTCCAGATCCCACGCTGCCATCACTCCACTGTGCCCCTGAGCTGGTGTAAGAAGAAAGGATTTGCTGATTTGGTATTTGAGCTTATTTAACACGAATGTCCTGAGAGTGGCCTCAGGACCTGAACACAGGCACTTGCTGCTCTAGCTGCAGCCTAGCCAAGCCCAAGGTGACTCTAACAGCAAATATTTCTGTGTTTCTGCTGAACCTCATGGGTTGGGAGCCAGAGTGAAGCCATGAAACAGAGCAAGGTGGACCCTTAGGAGGGTGGCAACCAGGGGGCTGATGGCCAACAGAGCAAGGGGGAAAGCCACAGAGAGCCCCCTTTCCTCACTCCTATCGCACAGCCCCAATTAGGGGCTCCAAGGCTCCACACTGTCAAGAGGATGCCCAACATGGCTCAGCAGGCCTATCATCCCCCACCATGGCCCCATTTCACATCCTTGACCAGTCCCTCCCTCCGTACAATGTCCCCTTTGTCCATAGGTCATCCTGAGAGTCTCTGATAGATGCTGTATGGGGGCCCACACACCCTTTGGTCACTAGGCCCCCACACTGCTAGCTTGGTAGCCTTGCTTTACCCTTGGCAGCTGCAGGTGAGCAGAAGGAACCCGGCACAGGCCAAGGATGGCAGGGTGGGTTTGGTCCTGTTCTGCAGTTGGCTCCCTGAGGAATCTTCACAGAGGCCTTCCCTTCTCCAGGCCTCATTCCTTTATGAATTCCTTCATTCCTCAACAGCTATTTATTGAACATCTGCACTACCCCAGGCATTGAAGACCCAGCTGGAACAGGACAGCAGGGGACACAGAGGCTCTGTGCTCAGGGGATGAAGACACTGCTACCTCTGTGAGTTACCTTTCAGAGTCTGTGTTGTGGCCCCCAACAGCCTCCTCGCCAGCCAGGTCCCTCTGGAGCTCTCCAAGGCAGGGCACCTCCTTGTCTTTGTGGCCTGGGAAAGATCTATGAAGGAACAACATGCAAGTTAGCCACTCATCAGCCCCTCCCACTCAGCTGGGACAGTCACCTCATCCTTAAATGCCAGCTATCTCTAAGACAGGCGTCCTCAAATTGCAGCCCGCGGGCCACATGCGGCCTGCCTAGGACATTTATCTGGCCTGCTGGATGTTTTTGCCACTGCTGCCTGTCCTGCTTAGCAGCCAACTTGTCCCGGGGCCCGCAGTCTGGCCCTCCAACGGTCTGAGGGACAGTGAACTGGCCCCCTGTTTAAAAAGTTTGAGGACCCCTGTCCTAAGACATGTAAAAGCTGCTACTGACAGAGTGGCTGCTCCTCAAAACCTCATTCCTAACAGCTGCTGTTGCCTGAGGGCCAGCGCCTGTGCTTGTGATCTTACACACATTAACTCTCCACAGCAAGCCCAGGATAGGAGCACTGTTATGGTCACACCCATTTTCTGGATTTGCTAGCTGAGGCACAGAAAGCCCAAGTGACCTGCACCAAGTCCCACAGATAAGAGGAAGCGCTGCAATGTGAACCCAGCAAGACTGACCCCAACCTCCTGTTCAATCTCCCCCGTCTCTGCTGTCTCTGAGGTCAGCCGTGAGCCACATGTTTTCAAATCATCACTACTGCCTCTCCCAAACTGCAGTCACAAACATTCAGATGCTGCCTACTTCATCAAATTAGTTTGTTCAGCAAACACTCTTTCCGTCACCCCTCCGTGTCCCCCTGCACCCACCCCCACTAGCTATCCCTCTTCCTCCTTCTAAGGGACATCAATGGGCTATTGTAGCTTTGTCACTCCTAGATAAGGTGCCACAGGTGAGGGACACAGGAGGGACCTTCCACAGAGGCAACCTTGCTTCCTTCTGCATCTTAGTGTCACTCTGCCTGTTCTTCAGAGGCTGATCACCTTAGGGGAACTAAGGAAGCACCTTCCGATGCTGCCTTATTAGAGACATCGTGCTGGATGGATTGCAGTCATTTGGGCAGCAAAGTCTCCCGCACAGCTCCTGCCTCCAACCACTCAAGAGTTCTCACAGGAGACTGGTCTATGGGTGGATAGTTGTGACACAGTGTGCGGGTATGGACACAGTGATGTGCCACCTTGTACAGAAATCCCCTCAGACACTGCCTGAGAAAGAAACTTCAGGAGAGACCTGGCATCGTAGCTCAGGCCTGTAATCCTAGCACTTTGGGAGGCCAAAGTGGGTGGATTGTTTGAGCTCAGGAGTCCAAGTCCAGCCTGAGCAATGTGAAACCCCATCTCTAAAAACTAGCTGGGCATTGTGATGGGCACCTATAGTCCCAGTTACTCAGGAGGCTGAGGCAAGAGGACCTTTGAGCCCAGGAGTTTGAGGTCACTGTGAGCTATAACACCAATGAACTCTACCCAAGGTGAGAGAGTGAAACTCAGTCTCAAAAAAAAAAAAAAAGTCAACTAAGCATCCATAGCACAGTGGTTATGGTGCCAGCCTGGTGGGTTCGAGCCTGGCCCGGGTCAGCTAAACAATGACAACTGAAGGCTCAGCACCTGTAGCTCAAGTGGCTAAGGCGCCAGCCACATACACCTAAGGTGGCAGGTTTGAATCCAGCCCAGGCCTGCCAACCAACAATAATGGCTGCAACCAAGAAAGCCAGGCTTTGTGGCAGATTCCTGTGGTTCCAGCTACTTAGGAGGCTGAGGCAGGAGACTCGCTTGAGCCCAGGAGTTGGAGAGTTGGAGGTTGCTGTGAGCTGTGATGCCCCTGGGGATAGCTTGAGGCTCTGTCTCAAAAAAAAAAA